GGGGGCGATATGCTGACTCTGTAAACCGCTTAGAGAGGGCTGAAAGCCCTATGAAGCGGTATATAAGTCTAACTGCTATTGCTATTGCTAACTTCTTTGCCTTGGAGTCGGTTTAATGTCAGGGTTCCAGGTAATACCCCCATAGCAAACAGAACTCCGATGCAAGCAGCTTTCTCAAAGAACAAATTTATTGGATAGATCATATTGGCACAGACTGGTGAAAACTGACTCTAAAGGTTCCCACGGTTTTCACCTAATTAAAAGTAAAAGTGTTCTCCCCTTTCCCAAACAATCAGTCACACGGTCCAATCAAGGTCCTATGCGGTTGCTTGGAAACTTCACTCCACCTCTCTTCAGCCGCCTGTGGGAATGTCCTTGGTTCTCAAGGGAAACTATTTTCTTTTGGCTACAAAATTCCAGCTATCTCTATTCCCCCCTCCCCATCCCTCTTCACCATTGTGGCAACACTGAAGCCTCCAAGATGGCCTCAGTCAGGCCAGCTTCAGAGTTGACACTATAGGTAAAACACACACAAACCCTTATGCAATAGTTTAGCTGTTCTGGGTAAACCAAGCCTGACTTTTCTGTGGCTTGACTTAATGTTCCAGAAGAACAAAAGAAGAACATATTGTATTTTTCAGATTATAAGATGCACCAAGATTTTGAAAAGATAAATTAAAAAAAAGGTTTTTGCACTCTGCAGACTTCCCAAACTCTCTGCACGCCTCATTTTTGTGAAAAACGGGGCATGCAGAGAGTTTGAGAGCCCTGCAAAGTGCTCTTGGGGGCTGGGAGGGCAAAAATGAGCAAAAAATGACCCATTTTTTAAATGAAAATGGGGCCTTTTTGCCAGAAAAAGGGCATGCATAGCCTTTAAGAGGCTTGTAGGGTATTCCTGGGGGCAAAAACAAGCAAAAAACAGGCCATTTTTCACCCCCAGTAGCACTTTGCAGGCCTCCCAAACCCTCTGCAAGTCCATTTTTGTGAAGGGGGTAGAATTTCGGGAGGCCAAAAATGCTGTATTCAGTGTATAAGACACACCCAGATTTTCATCCTCTTTCATCCTCTTATACTCCAAAAAATACGGTAAATCCCAGGCCTTAATCGTGGTGGTGTGTATGGTAATGTTCTTGTCAGATACAAGAAATTGGGAACCAGGGTGGTTCAAATGAGTACAAGTTTATTCCATGCTAGCTCTCTACAAGGATCTGGACTACTAACTGTCAAAGCAAATTGGTGGTAGATAAGAATCAACAGAATTCAAGGTAGGCTGGGTTAGATCTCTTGTGGGCCGGAAAGGACTCTAAACTGCTGACCTGCTTGTCTCCTCCCTCGGGCTCAGCCTGGTTGTCTCCTACACGTCTGGCCTTATATGGGATAAATCTCTGGACCATCTTCAGCTTCAGGGTGCAGAGAGCCTTACAAAGCCCTCCCCACAAAACTATAAAGCAACAGTACTTAGATTTATATACCTCCCCAGAGTGTTTTACCGGGTAGTTTGCAACATCAGCCTCTTGTCCCCAACAATCTGGCTCGTCATTTTACCAACCTCAGAAGGATGGAAGGCTGAAGTCAGCCAGGAGTCTTTGGTCAGGTCCAAACTCCTGGCAGTGGGGAAAGTCAGCCCTGCAATACTGCATTGTATTCGCTGTGCCACCATGGCTCAGCGCCTGCATTGACTTCCATGGCATGTGCTGTCTTTGCAATTATTGAGAAAGTGATTTGTATCTGATAACCACCTGGGCAATCTGAGTTATTTCCTGGAAAAAGGGGGCAGAAAGAAATAAGCATCCCTCATTTTCTTTCTAGCCATATATAAAGTTGCCTGTTGCGTTGTCAACACAAGCTCTTTGGGGGTATGCGCGACTACTCTGGCCGTGGGTGAGTCCAAAAGTGAAAGGCATAGCTGCCAAGCTTAATTCAGAGATGTGGCAAATTAATTCCTTAATTCGGACTTGTGGCAAGGAATTCTTCCTTCCTTCCAAGAGGAAGGAAGGGAAATAAAGCCAGGAGAGGCACTGCCCTCTTTCTAGCTATCCTGCCTCCCTGAGTTCTGACCCAGCTCCCCAAACACAACAAACCCTCTGAAGTGAACTCAAAGATTCCTTTATTAGGAGCACTGGCAGCCTCGGCAAAAAGTTTCTCTCTCATCGCAGGCTAATAAGTCCTAGGGAGATGAATAGTTCTATGTCACACCTATTCATCTCTGCCCCCTGCCTTTGATCCCCAGAACTAGAGTGGGGCTTCACTAGCAGCAGTGGCTCTTCTGTCCTGAGGGCCGGCCCATAGATTTCCACTGCTCTCCTCTCCTCTGCCACTTCTATTCATCTCCACCCCCTACCTTTTATCCCCAGAGCCAGAGTGGAGCTTCACTAGCAGCGGTGGCTCTTCTGTCCCAAGGATCGGCCCATAGATTTCCATTGCTCTCCTCTCCTCTGCCACTTCTATTCATCTCCACCCCCTACCTTTTATCCCCAGAGCCAGAGTGGGGCTTCACTAGCAGCGGTGGCTCTTCTGTCCCAAGGATCGGCCCATAGATTTCCATTGCTCTCCTCTCCTCTGCCTTCTGGGCATCTCTGCGTCAGGCACT